GCTTTAAAGGGGTTCGGTCTCGATCTTTTTTTGGGTCCGGTCCGAGACCGATCTTTTTGTGAAGATTTAGTTTTGAGGTTTATAAAATCGCCCATACTTCTTAGGTGTGTTATGAACCAAATCTTCCACATTTATGTTCAACGAGACTTATACTATTGTGTTGCGCAAAATTAATATAACGTGATAAGATAGACGATTTGTAGCTAAGAAAACTTACATAGAAAACTTATTCATGACTTTTAATTAATTACTTTTTGAATCAACAACACATAACAAACAATCACATATATAATCTAATATACATTATTAAGCATCATACACATCACATGATATATAACATATGATTGATAACATTTATATGATCTAATATACATTAGCGGTGGAGACACACCATATACAACGAATATATTAAAAGAAACAATAATGACATGAAAACCTTAATGTTAACAAAAATGTACAAATTTATCTCTTTGTGGATTTTAAGCTCTCTAAAAACGGATGTTTGCAACTTTTTTTTTCAATTTTATTATTTTTCTGGATTTTCCTGGTAAAACCGGACTTTTTTGCTAAACGTAAGAGCTTTTATGAAAAAAAAACCAAACTTAAGGGCTTTATAAATTAGAAAAATAAAAAAAAAAGAGAAAATCGAAAGTTTCTGCAAAAGTGAAAGGTTTTAATGAACAGAAATACACAAAATAACATTTAACAAATTGAACCAAAGTGTGATAAATAAATAAAAAACATATTATTTCTAAACTGTTTGTTATTAGTGAGCCCAATCCCATTTTTATAATTTGAACCATAACTAGACCTGGTAAAACATGACACGACACGAAAACCCAATACAAAATTAGCGGGTTAGGATAAGAGATTTCGACACGTTTATGTAAACAGGCTGACACGACACGACACGATAATTAAACGAGTAAGGTTAGAGTCAAGACTTTCAACTCGAAGATGACTCGAAAATGATCTGTTTAATTATATATTATTGATTATAAATTTCATATTTTTATAAATAAATTATATGTTATAGACTTGTAGTGGGCCAAACTCAAGAATTAGAAGTAATATTCAAATTTTCAAAGTTAGTTAATTTTAGTCATCCTCACCACCTATCTCTTTGCTCCCCAACTTTAACTTTTTTTTTATTTTTGCTTTTAAACTTACTATAAATTTTGTTATTCCATCTCACAACTCCAGTGTTTCGCCTTTACATTTTTGACTACACAAATCCTACTTTCCAACCTTTAAAATATTTCAACACAACATAACCCGACCCGAAACCGACACGAAATAAATAGGTTGACACAGCATGACACGCTAATTAAACGAGTCGGGATAGAATCAAACCCTTTCAGGCCGTTTAATGTCTTAACACGACATGAACCCGACACGACACGTTTGTCGGGTCTAAACCTAAAGATGCTCTTTGTACGTAACGTAAACGTACGTAAGTATATACGGGTATGGCAAAAGCAAAGAATCTAGATATGCGACTTTGACCGGGTCGATTCAGGATATAGAGAACCTGTAGACATCTCCAATCTTAACACTAACAAAAATTTTACAGCGGCGAGGAGGAACCAGGCGGCCGAATGGCTACGACAAATGGATCACGGTGCGGCGGAGGTACTGTCCACCGAACCCTCCGAGGAACACTTCTGTCTCTCTCTTCGCAATGGCCTCATCCTCTGCAATGTCCTCAACAAAGTCAATCCCGGTGCAATTCCGAAGGTTCTTTCCTCTCCTTTTCTTATTACATTAGCACACAATCAATCAATACTTTGTCTAGGAAATCAAATTTAACCAACAATTATTGGGGGGAATTTTTAAGGTGGTAGAAATTCCGATCATCGATACGGAGGGAGCAGCGCAAACTGCAATTCAATATTTCGAAAACATGCGGAATTTCTTAGTTGCTGTTGCTCGAATGAAGCTTCTTACCTTTGAGGTGTCTGATCTAGAAAAGGTGATCACTTTGATTACTGGTTTCTTATTGTTGACTAGACTAGATAGTAGATACAATCATGCAATTTAGTTTGTTTATGTTTATAATATTGTTTCTTCCAGGGAGGCTCATCTGGTAAAGTCGTAGATTGCATTCTATGTTTGAAAGGTTATTACGAGTGGAGGCAATCCGGTGGGGCTGGAGTTTGGAAGTATGGTGGGACGGTAAGGATCACTTCAACCTCATTTCCAAAAGGATCACCTTCCTCTTTAATTGGCAGTGAAAGCGCCGATGAATCTCTAGATGAATCTGAGTCTTCACAATTCGAAGAGTTACTCGAGTATCTTCTTCTATCAAATGAGGTGTCTCTTCAGGAATCAAAAGTGTCAACAACACTTACCTTCCTCTTTGACCATTTAGGTATTGGGCTTTTGCAGACTTATCTCACAGAGACTAATGAGCTTGATGACTTTCCCATGAATTCAATGGTAGGTAAGGTTTGTTTTGTATAGTATCTACTGAGATGATTTTCTTGGTTATTAATATGTTTTGTGGGATGTTATAATAGGTTATTGACATAGTGCTCAGAAAGGCTGTTAAAGATCTTTCATCATTGCTTATCTCTCATGGAAATCAGGTAATACTCAAAACAATTTAGAGTGAATAAGAAATCAAAATCATAAATTAATTCTTATCCCTTTCAGCTTGGTGTCTTTTTGAAGAACATGTTAAAGGGCAACTGTAAGCCTTTATTAAAGCATGAATTCCTACAAGCCATTTCAAATTATATCGAACAAAGATCAGGGTTAGTTTCAAATGAGTTATCAAAGTTTTGCATATGTGGTAACAAGGGTAAAGATATTAGTTACTTAACTGACAAAACAAGCGTGCTGGATGTTCAACAAAAACAACTAGAGGTATGTACACTAAACACTAGATAGTAACACCACAGTCTGTAGCATGGTTTTATCTTATATTTGTGTTGAACTTTTCCAGGAGCTAAAAGCTAGCTTTCATTTGACAAAACTGGAAGTCCAACAAGCTCATCTAATTTGGGAACAAGAGCTAAAGAAAATTGGTGAGTTGTTATACTTGTTAATTTTTAGCACTTCCTATGAGAACCAGGAAACACACTAACGTTATATCTAATCTATGTCAGCACATCATACTAAGGACCTTGAAGTAGCCTCTTCTTCATACCACAAGGTATTGGAAGAAAACCGACAGCTTTACAATCAAGTTCAAGACCTAAAAGGTTAGTACTTATGTTCTTAAGTCTTAACCACCATTTTTGTAGATAAACTTCTATCATTAATGGAGTTGTTTTTTTATTTAAAGGGGCAATAAGAGTTTATTGTAGAGTGAAACCCTTTGTACATGATCAATCTGATGAGCAACATTCAACGGTTGATTATGTTGGAGAAAATGGAAATATTATGATTGTTAATCGTCAAAAACAGGGCAAGGAGGCTAGGAAGATGTTCACTTTCAATAAGGTGTTTGGAGGGAATACAAATCAGGGTAAGTTGATTTATAAGTTTGTATACAAAATGTAATAATTTAAATTTGATATATTTCCAACTTATTTGCAGAGCAAATATATTTAGATACCCAACCATTGATTAGATCTGTGCTTGATGGTTATAATGTTTGTATCTTTGCATATGGCCAGACAGGCTCTGGGAAGACATACACAATGGTAAGAATTAGAAAACAATTGATTTTATTTTTGGATTCAAACATTCATCTCTCTCATTCTCATATTTATTATGCAGAGTGGCCCTGACATGACAACAGAGGATACATGGGGCGTCAACTATAGAGCCCTACGAGATCTGTTTGAATTAACAGAGGCAAGGATGGATGTAATAAAGTATGAGGTTGGAGTTCAAATGATTGAAATATACAATGAACAAGTCAGAGATCTCCTAGCAATTGATGGCTCAAATAGAAGATATCCTTTCAATTCTTTTTTTCCTTCCTTCTCAATTCTCAATTCTCATGACATGATATATATATATATATATATATATATATATATATATATATATATATATATATATATATATATATATTTTAAACAATTGTTATGCCTTGACAACCTACACGTTGGATATACGAAACAATTCCCAGCTGAATGGTCTTAATGTTCCTGATGCGTCTTTGGTTTCTGTAAAATGTACACAAGATGTTCTTCATCTCATGAGAATTGGTCATAGAAATCGTGCAGTTGGTTCTACTGCTTTAAATGAACGCAGTAGTCGTTCTCACAGGTATAAACTTAAACTTAAACTATATATATATATATATATATATATATATATATATATATATATATATATATAATAAGAGTATAAATATATTGAAATATGAAATTGTGGGACAGTGTTGTAACTGTTCATATCCGAGGAAAAGAAGTGGTTTCTGGATGTAGTTTAAAGGGTTGCCTTCATCTAGTGGATCTTGCTGGAAGTGAGAGGGTGGACAAATCAGAGGCGGTTGGTGAACGTCTTAAGGAAGCCCAACATATTAACAGATCGCTGTCTGCACTTGGAGATGTCATTTCTGCCCTTGCACAAAAGAGTACACACATTCCTTACAGAAACAGCAAGCTCACTCAAGTATTGCAAGATTCTCTTGGTGGACATGCTAAAACTCTCATGTTTGTGCACATAAATCCCGAGATTAATGCCTTTGGAGAGACAATCAGCACCCTCAAATTTGCCGAGAGGGTTGCCTCAATCGAACTTGGCGCCGCTAAATCTAATAAAGAAACTGCTCAACTTAGAGAGATGAAAGAAGAGGTTGTTTACTTTATATTCACTTTAATCTTGTATTTCCATGGGCTCTGCTAAAATGTTTTTTTTACTCAGATATCCAATCTGAAGCTAATGTTGGAGAAGAAAGAGGCTGAATTACAACAATTGACAAGTGGGAATAATAATAACACACGAGGTGGAGGTGGAGGTGGAGGTGGAATTTCACCTGTTGGCATGCCAAGACCAAGGTGTATTGATGATAATAAGCTTCCTACTTTTGAGGTTAGTCCTAAATTTAAATTTGTTTCCCTTACATATATAATTAAATCATGGATGTTCTTTTGATAGCAGGTTCGAAGCTGTTCATCAGGTAAGCAAAGGAGGCCGCGGCTCCCTTCCAAGTTCACAGACAAGGATTATATTCCCAAAATGCCCCTCCTAGCAGAAGAGAGATCTCAATCCCCCAGTGCTACTACTATTAGAAGATCAATATCCACAGATAGAGATAGAGGAGCCAACATGAAAATGCAATATCCCATGCGTGCCTCTATCAACAGATCTCTAGCAGTAGCAACCGAGAATAGAAGAGGGTTTTTAAGTTCACATTATGATAAGTTTTCTGAAACAACATTACATAATCATAATCATAATCATCTACCTTCTAGGAGGAATGGAAATCAGGAGCAAGAAGAAGAGCAATGTAAGCAAATGCTTAATGTTGTTAGAGAAGGAAAGATTAATAATCCCAAAAATCAAGTGGCAGTTAAGATTAATAAGTTGTCTTGTGACACCACCTTCGAGTTGGAGGAGGCTCAAAAAAGTGAATTATCATCAGAAAATGAAAATGTACAAATACACATTCCAATGAAAAAGCTTCAACGCAGCTCATCAAGAAGTCATCATCACATGGAAGTCAGGTGGGTACTGTTAGAAATTAGAATTCACACTTATATACTTCCTTGAATCTTGATTAACATTTATTTATTTGGCTTTCAGGGAATCCCTTCTTATAACAACTGGTGGTAGAAATGAAAACAAACCCTCAAACAACAACACATCAATTCCTAAATTGTTTAGAAGGAGCCGTTCTACACCTCGAGGGAAATTTATGCTTCCACCTTGATTAAAATGAAACCAAACCCGATATACTATATAGTGTTCTTTCATTTTTGTTTTATGTATAGCATAATGGTGCTTCATTTTTTGGATTACGATAAGTTACCACGAGGAGATTTGGAGTATGGGAATCCCTCTAATTGTATTTGTTTTTGTTTTTGTTTTTTCTAAAACAAATTAAATTTGTAACATGATTGATTCCCTCTGTTTTGATTTTACATGATTGGAGTATATTTTTGTTCAGAAAGGTGACAATTTTCGAAACCTATAGACAATTATGGAATTGTTGCTCCAAAAATCCAATAAAACATCCTTCTAAACTTTTGCAGGGCACCATTATTCTTTGTTATACAATACTTCTAAGAAAATACATTATACATGCAACATACCTATAATATAACCTGTTATTTTTTTTTTTTAACTTTTTTTTAATGTTTGTGATTCTCATATCATTATAGCCTTTGTCAAGGACTCAAGTTTAGTCCACCCCAACCCCATCCATGCTAAATAGATTCCGTTAAGTAATGCCAACCCCAACTTTGAAAAATGGTTGGGCAATAAAATGACAAAAATTGGTGAGGCCTATTTAGATGTTAAGGTGCACATTGAAGCTTAATTTTAGAAAACACCCAATTCCAATCCTAATCCTAGGAAAAATCGGATCAGATAAATCCAAACATGCGGTTTATGGCCGGCCAGTTTTAAGAAAAATTGGCATATTGGATTTTTATCTTGGTAAAAAACGTTTATAAGATATTTTATTTACCATTTACAATTAGAAAATAAAAACTTTCAAGTTCTTTTTATATACCCAACAACTATTTATGTTCCAAAATAACCATATTACCCCACTAAGACTTGGTATCAAGGGTTGTTAGATGTATTGGTTTCTTCATTTTTTTAAACGGAAAATTATCTATAAATTTACTCCTAAATACCACTTATGTATCCTAACAAACTTGAACCCATGACCTCTCACCTATACCAATGAAGATGCCGTTGCGGTTTTTGAGTATTCTGCAAACGAGACAACCTTGATTAGCTAATGTCAAATACCAATCAACGTGACTCAAATAATTATAACCGATAGAAACACCATATTCAAATATCATGAAAACAACACGTGTAAGGAACTAAAACAAGCTGTGGACATGGCTCGCATTAATAATGCCAAGAGCGAATTTAGGTGTTGTTTGTTTTTTCTAAAAAACCACTTCAGACCACTTATTGTTGCACCTCACAGCACACACGCAACACTTGGCCCTTCGCAGCTGTTTGTTTTTCAAAAGACTTTTGACTTAAAAACTGTTGAGCATATGTTGCGTGGCGTAACAATAGACCAACTGCTTCAAACTTCTTCACACCTTACTTCAACTTACTGCAGATGTAAAAAAACAAACAGACTTTTTATTAAATGTTGCAGCCGTTTGGTCCACCTCTTCTGCTACAGAGGGTTGTAGAGGTGGTTCGCACACTTCAGACATTTTTGCTTCGAAAAAACAAACAACACCTAAGATATTGTAGGGCACATACAAACTTCGATAAAGAGTAGGATCTTTAACCCAAGAACCGAAGCCGTCAAAATTGGCTAACAAATCAATAGGAGTGTGCACAGGTTTACAATTAAGCATATTATCCCTAAAGAAGAATATCATTAGCATACTGTTATTGAGACAGAAAGAGACCATCTTTAGTGCGAGTAGCTGAATTACCAAGAACGTAATGTATGTCACCAAGGTCATATATAGAGAACTCAACACCTAGTATAGAAATAATACGTGTTAGCAACTCCTACGATGTTCCAGTGAGAACAATGCCATCCACGTACAGAAGAATGTATGTCATATGAGATCCATGGTTGTATATAAAAAGAGATGAATCACACTTGTTGTGGACAAAACCAATGCGAGAGATAAACGTGTCAAATCATTAAAGCCACGTGTGAGAAGTTTGCTTTAGACCAAAAAGAGATTTATGAAGCAAAACATGATCTGATCTTGTAGGATCTTGAAAACATGGAGGTTACCTCATATTTACTATATCATCCAAATGACCATGAAGAAAAACATTATTCGCATCTAGCTATCGAATAGGACAATGATGAGTAACAATTATACTGTTGAGAACAGTCTGAATAAGGGCTAGCTTAACAACTAGATTGAAGGACTCATCATAATATATTCCTAGTCTATAACTACTCCATTGGCGACAAGGCGGGCTTTGTACCGAGATAAAGAACCATTTGTATTCAACATGCATTTTGATGTTAATAGTTGAGGATGGCTTATCATTCACTGCAACATCCATAAAAATCATGTAAAATTTAAACTTTTTAAAAATATTTCAAAAACAATTATTATTACAAAAACTTGTTTTCAAAATAGTATAATGTCAGAGCATCCCAGAATCAAAACATGTAAACATAAGGAGGTGTATGATCACGCCTTCGCCTTCCCACGATCATCTGAAGTACCTGAAATAATCATTGATAAATGTAAGCTCGAAGGCTTAGTGAGTTACCACCAAAATACCAATTCCATACAAATATAACCATATCAGATAAACAAATACAACATGCATAATGAGACATTAGTCTGACTGGACTGCCTCACAGGCCATCAGTCTATCTGGACCGCTCTTCGAGCCTTCGGCATGTCTGGACCACCTCCCAGGGCCTTCAGCCTATCCAGACCGCTCGCTGGGCCTTCGACCTGACTAGTATGCCCTAATCGAGTCTACAGTTTATTCGGTCCGCCTTGGGTATCTTGGCTTACAGCACAAAGTAGGATCCGCCTTAACCCAATCTGCCAAACCAACAAACATGTACACATAAATATCATATGCTAGCTAGCATGTACAGATAGTTATATGGATCTAAAAGATCACTAACATGGTAACCATCCTATAACCAGGATACCGATCTAACCAATGACTAACATAACAACCATCCTATAACCAGCATACCGATCTAACCGATCACTAACATTGCACAATCCTCTAACCAGGATACCGATCTAACAAACCACTAACATAGAAACCATCCTATAACCAGGATACAAATCATAAATTATATCATGCAATAAACTTGGATACAAATCCAAAAGGGCCAACATTGGTACCTTAGACCCCGTTGATATAGTAAGGAGAACTCACCTCACAAGTAGCTCGAAGTGATAAAGTCAAACTCCAACAAATGCAGCTCCAAGTCCAACACCTACATCCACCAATGGTTCACTTCCATAAAAATACCAAATTACCAAAATACCCCAGAAGTCAAATTGGTCAACCCTTGGTCAAAGTCAACGGTCTATGTTGACCTGACTCGTCGAGTGCACCCAGCAACTCGTCGAGTTCCTTAAGAAATAAGAAATCAACAAAACCCTAATTGACTCGCCGAGTTTCCAACCAACTCGTCGAGTCCTTGCGTGTGGAAATGTCGGGGAAACCCCTAATTTGACTCGTCGAGTTCTCTTACCGACTCGCCGAGTCCATGCAGAATCAAATGCGGGCAATCTTCATCCGACTCACCGAGTCGAATATCTGACTCATCGAGTTCATGCAGTCCATTTCTTATCCATACATTTTTAAGCCTCCCCAAAGATCCATATTGTAGATCCAGCTTCCTATGGCACAAATTGCACGTAAAGTTGCAAACTTTACGGGTATGCAAGGTCTTAAAGGCTTAGAACACTAAAACCAAGTCTAGAATGAGGTTTAGGGCATGGTGAGGGGTTCATATGAGATAAAGTTGATAGATTAATGAGTTTGAGACCTGGAGGAGTCCAGATCTGAAGTTGCAACTTTAGATCATGGCTAATACCCGAAATGACTCCAAAATGTACTAAAGATGGCTCTACACTTAAGCATGAAGAGATCTAGAAAAAGATAAGCCAAGGTAACGACTTGTTACATTCAAAATGATGCCACGATAAAGGAGATTTAGATCCAAAAGCTCCTCTTTGCTCTGAGCTCCTTATACTTCAAGCCTTCTTCACTAAATGCACCAAAGCACTCTTTAATCCTCACAAACACTCAAGACCAATGTCAATAGCAATTAGGGTTTCTTCTGGCCGTTAATAGGTGATAAGGGACTGGAGGTAAGGACTTAAGGTCCTTTAAATAGGGTGAAAACCCTAAAAATTAAGGTTTCATCTCCCAGCTCCTACTTGTTGAGTCTGTATCCTTCGACTCGTGAAGTAGGTCCAATAATCCACGCGGCCTAACCCGCCTCTACACGACGAGTTTAGGAAACCAACTCGTTGAGTAGGTCCATAAACATGTACATAATGCTTTAATACTCATACCTGGATTTGGGGTTTCATAATTTTCCCCCACTTGAACTAGACTTCATCCTCGAAGTCTGTTGTGGTGAACAAGTCTGGGTAGTGCTCTCCCATCTCTGCCTCCGGCTCTTATGTCCACTCAGATCCCCTCCTATGCTCCCACTGTACCTTTACCAGAGGTACTTCCTTGTTCTGTAGAACCTTTAGCTTCCTCTCAAGAACGACTACTGGCCTCTCCACGTAATTCAGACGCTCGTCGACCTAAGTATTGTCTAATGATACCACTACCCCCTCATCTTCTATGCACTTCCGCAACTATGACACATTGAAAGCGTTGTGGACCTAACTAAGATCCTCTCGGAGATCCAGTTTATAAGCCACCTTTCGAACCCTAGAAATGATCCTGAATGGCCTAATGTATTGAGGATCCAACTTCCCCTTCTTCCTGAAGCGAATCACACCCTTCCAGGGTGAGACCTTCAGTAGTACCATGTCACCCACCTGGAAATCCAGCTTAGATCGATGTCTTTCAGCATAAATCTTCTGTCGACTCTGAGTGGTCTACAACCGTTGTTTGACCTACTGGATTCTCTCCGTAGTCTGCAGAACTATCTCTGTCCGTCCCATCACTGTGACTGATCTCACCCTAACAGACTAGGGTGCGACATCTCCATCCATACAACAAATCATATGGTGGGGCACCAATACTGGAATGAAAGTTGTTGTTGTAGGAGAAATATACAAGGGGTAGCTAGGAGTCCCAGCTCCCACCGAAGTCGATAACGTAGGCTCTCAGCATATCCTCTAGAGTCTGTATGGTCCACTCACTCTGGCCGTCTGTCTATAGATGATAGGTTGTACTGAAGTGCAGCCGCATGCCCAGTTACTCGTGGATATTCTGCCAGAAACAGGAGGTGAATCGAACATCACGGTCTGAGACAATAGAGACCGGTACCCCATGGCGAG